ATACATGTCGTCAACCATTACGTAGGCATGGCTGAGCATTTATATTACATGTTTTGTTTTGTTTACAAAGTAGTGTTATCCAAAACGAAGACCCTTAGGATAACTGTCGCTACAATCAGCCATATTATACATAGTTTTAATTAGTGTACAATTAAGTTAATACTAAGAAGATAAGTGCAAATCTGTATATGACCATAGTCGACATTCATGAGTGTGAAATTCATTTTTATGTTGAGTCGCTGCTGATATCATCTATATTGCACCGAGACGGTGTTAACCAATATATATTTCTACGTGCGACATTGTTAAGGGCAATACGCATTTCTGATAACTGCAGTGTATACACATTATTTAGTATTTGCTGTTCCATCTTCCGTTTCGTTGTGCTCTCGCCCAAGGCGCGTCACAAAAACGAGGTGTCCTATACAATCGATTTCGAGCATGCTACTGCAAACATTAATGAAACGCTAGCGCATAGATGGTGTGTATACGAGTTTAATATACAATAGTAACGTATAACATTGACTCAAAATATATAAAAAAGGGTGTTGCTATGGTAGGAGGATTGTTTTTTCCGCATAACTGGAGTGTAGGTGTGAACAGACACCACAAGAGATTTCTATAGACGTTATCGACACCGCTATTTTAAACAATGATACCGAGTGTGAAGAACGATTCAGAGCACGCGTCAAATCAAAAAAAAAAATACTTTCAGTAGAGGCACACCCTCAAGCAAATTTTCTATATGTCCGAGATTTTGTACGAAAAAAAATGTGCGCGAAAAGACGACCAAAAATCAAGTTTTCGGACGTTGTCATGGCAACAATGGAGCAGAATTGTTTTAAAAAAATTGTACACGTTTCTACACACATATACACACACACACACACGTGATTATACGGGTAGTCCTAGCGGACGGGGACGCTAATACAATTTGAATTGGTCATTACTGCATGACTTTATGACATATTTCCCAAAGCGTACCAGATAATTATCATTCTAATATATGAACAGAATGGTAATTTTGCAAAGAATGCTGTATATTGCTGTACAGTATAGGACGTCATACAAATTAGGTTTTCTGTAAATATGTCTTCAATGATGTACACTGTATTATTATTGTCATTGAATATTTCACGATTAATTGTTTATTTATCTCTGGTGTCAAATTTCGTTTTTTTAGGGAGGGCGAGGGGGGGGGGTCAAGCTCAGGTTGAGATTTTCCAGTTTATCGTACAGATTAATTTATTTTGTATTATTCCGACGGATTTTGTGCAGTGAGTTTCTCTGAAACTGTTGTAGGAATTAAGATTTCGTTGGAAGTACATTTGAAGTTGTGCATTCTGGTATTTGAATGTGAAATCAAAAAAGTACCTTTGAAGTTCAATTATTTGGGCAGGTTTATTTTCGTGTAATTCTCCATTGTGGTGTTGAGGGCGCTGCACTACTCACATGCTTGATTTTCCCACGTAATTTTATTAATTCATTTATTTTTTTTGTTATTATGGTTATATGTAGATCATAAATAAGAGTAGATTTAAACATATTGCGACAATCCACGCAATCTACTGTCGTGCCAACAGTCCCAAAAAAAATTGTCTATCATAACTATTGTCCATCGGGATTGTACAAGTCATTATTAAAAAACTTCTATACCACACAATCGTGGGCTGACACAAGGTACAGCGATTGTCTGAGCAGCTACAACCGATCACTTTAGTGGCTTCAGCAGGGAGAAGCAAATTTAGAATTTGACATCGGATATTTCAGTTTAACTTTGAATCTGTTTCAGGGCATATTCTCTGTACCGTGACTGAATTGTCAATTTCAGCGCGAGTGCTTGAATAGTTTGTTGATTATAAGATCAAGTGGCTGAAAGCAATATTTGCAACTTGCGGGGACAAACACTTTAGCAATGAAGTAGCACAAACAACAGTGACCTCTGAATACATCGACAACTTGCAGGGATTTTAAATCTCCATGTAATTCTAAATTTGACACACGGCATGATCACGCTGTCTACACAATGATGCATTGTTTTAGAGTTTGACTAATGATTCGGACTTTTATCGAAGTTTAGCTTAGCAATTGCATTAAATTAAGCTCGTTGACAAACTATAGTCATATGGACATTTCCCTATATCAAATTGTGTCGTAGATAATTATTTTAATACATTGACTTCGCATTTACCAAGATGTGTCTGTTATTCGAAATTGTATTTCGCATCGAGCTTCCTGTTGAGTAACAGAAAATTCAACCGAAATCAATTAATAACTCCATTAAAAGGAGAAACCTGAAATTCAATTTTTGGAATATCATCAAACTAGTTAAATATATTGTTTTGAATTACAAGGTCAACTATTCGAAATAAAGCAATTAACTTATCGCTTAAAATGTTATGTTTTGTTTTCAATCCTGACATTTTTACAGAGATTGTTCTAAAAAGACAGTGTAGCTATACGAGATTTGTGATTTTATAACGTTAAAACGCTTTGTATGGTCATTACAAATATACCACGCAAATCAATTAATAGTAGTGGATAGTAGATGTGTTTCCGACTCGTACCACAACAACCACAGTTTTTCCCAAATACTATAGGTTCGAACCAAGCTTTACCATTTTTTTCTGTGGTTTAGAAAGAACTCACTCACTAATGCAATTCCAATGTTTGTATTACCTTTACCAAGCTTTAACTTCAAAAAATACATGATACTGAAATAATAATAAGTCAGTGAAATAATAATTTACATGTGTACGAACCGAGAAATTGCTAGTAATATGCAAATAAACTATGGCAATGACTAATTTCTGTATATGTCAAGAAAATAAGGATAATCTAAATAGAGACAATATATGTGTGTGACAAATTGAGTTAAACACGACTAAGTGAGATAAACAAATCTATCACTCTCAGACAATGTGACCCACTGTTCTGGCTGTTTATTAACTTCTGTAAATCATTAGTTTTTATGTAGATTATAAACTTGCCACAATGTAATTGTATTCATACAGAATGTAATTTCTACGCTAAGTATAATTACTACAGATAACTGAGCGTTAAAAGACAGCTACGGGGATTCTAACGATAGTCGATATCGATGGAATCGGTGTTCCGGTAAACGCACTTTAACGATGTAATACTGCGTATTTGGCGAGATTTAGCCCCATCGCGGGTTATGTGTTTTTAATGGACCAATGACATGCGGAAATCGCACCTGACTAATGTGTATATCATAGTAAATTACATGTTTTTTTTAAACCACAAATCGCAAACTTAGTTTATTCCATCATTCTAAGCACTCACACTGTGACAGTTGGATTGAAAATGAAATGTCCTATTTTTAAATACTGAGAGGGAACGTTGTGCTCTTCATCTGAGTCATGTAGCGGTGATCTCAATAACATTAACATTGAATTTCGAATGTTTTTGTTGGTTTGAAAATGTAATTTAAAAAATTGTGCACGTTCAATTGACCAGGGTTTTGTGATACTTGCTAATTTTTATTTACTGCTATTGCAATTTTATAAGAACAAACATTCCTGTTTTTCTTCGTAAATAGTGTAAAATTTCTTTGTTTCATCTACTATTCTAATTCAGTATACTATAGTATAACGATATTGTGATTAGCGTTAATTCCTTGACCTAAATTATGTTATCAATATAATCCTTAAGTCTGAGTTACCATACAATGACAGATCGGTGATTATAATCAATGCATTAAGAACAGATTTTGCAGGCAATATTGAAAACTAGATCAATCTTTGGGGAGCATCTACCAATGCTATATCAACATAATCCCGATTATTAATCTTTTGTGATTGTAATGTCAATATTTCTAACTTTCACCACGGTCGAGCTGATTAACAACTTACAAGTACTCTAGCATATCAAAATTGCAATATCGTTAATTATCATACGTCAGTTTATGGGTCGAACAAACACATATCAGCTTGACCTTCAAGATGAGAGTCGAAACAATATGTAGACTCTATTAGGCAATGACAGTGATGGACATCAGGTTGATTTGTAATCACCAATGAATTTTAATGGAATGCATTATTACCGTATTGTGGAATTTGTCAGCTGATAGAATTCATAGTATTTTTTAATCACCATTAGAATACTTGTACAGTTTTTTAAAGATTACATTTTGTAAGACATTGTCTTGATTATTTGTGATTATTTTATAATTTAAAACTTAAAGAGGCATCATACCATTACAATAGGAAACACAATACGAGTTAACAGTAAAATATTTCACGTTCTGATGTGACGAAATTGGCGTAATCATCGCTATTCCCTTCGATGCGTAGTAAATATAGTAATGTGCATAAAACATGTCACACTACATTGCCAAAAAGAACACATAAAGTTACGTATGATATTATGATTTACAAGACCCATATAGCAGATGCATATCAGTACCATTCATATACGTTTCAATATTCAGATTAACAACACTCATTGCTGAATTTGTTATTATGTAGCCAATCAAACAACTTTTGTTCACTTTCGTATTTTCGCAAATTAGTAGAACACAATAATCAGTTTCTGAATTCATTTGTTGTCTTGAAGTTGCTAGTCAATCGATCTGCTGTCACTTTTCATGTTATTCACGATAAGCTAACATTGTGTTAAACATCTTATTTTGAATATTAACATCCACATAAACAACCACAACGAATAATATTCTTTCCCATTTATAGTACATCGGAAGCATTTTACTATGTAATCCAATCGCAATAACTTGTAATATTAAATTGTCGCCAATATGTTAATATAAGATTAACATATCATTACTATGTATTTATATTCACATACTTGTGGTCATCGTTTAAACACGAGTGTCTAGCATTGTTTCAGTGGAGTAAATTATATATGCATGACTCTTAACACGTACTGTGTTTGTGAGTAATATCAGTGATTATTGTATAACCATAACTCATAGATGGGATTTGGTTTGGCGTTTTGTTATGTTTTTATATATTCCGTTACAGGTATCTATATGCGTCAGTATCTACACATTGACGGCTATGAGTGTAGATCGATACTATGCTGTTCTATATCCTTTCAAATTGAGAGTAACGAAGAACCGGGCAAAATATGTCGTGTGTCTAGTCTGGTTGGTATCGATATCCCTCTCTCTGATCCCTCTCATAACAGCACGCTCCAGAAGTTACGATCTCAACGACTTCGTGGACGCCCCAGGGGACATTGTTTATTTTTGCAGTGAGAGGATAGAGCACACCGCAGCTACGGCTTACGAATTAGTCATACTGATAATCACGTACGTGATACCGCTGTCCATAATCTCATACACGTATTATCGTATTGGTAGACGACTGTGGGGAAGAAGTTTACCTGGGGTTGCTGATCGTAAGAGGGACTTATCGCAAATGCGGTCTAAGAAGAAGGTATGAGGCATGCTTTGACAGTTGCCATTCAAATATTTTCTGTAATCAAATTCCTACATTCTCCTCTAATATATAATAATTATAATATAGCACTTATATACGCTAGTACATATAAAGTCTTGCTTTGGGAAACACATTTTTATCATCACTTGGGACTAAATTCTCGCGCGTGCGCTGGTGAAGAGCCTCCCGCTTTAATGTGTTATGCTATTTACGGTAAATTAATTACAGCGCAAAAGGTAACCTTTACGCATTCTAGTGATGCTACAACACACATTACAGGTTATTGAGACACTTGCAAATATATAAATTACTTCCTTGTTTTCTTAAATCCAAGATGACCGCCAAACCACGTTACAATTTATACAAACGAACAACTATAAATGTACCATAGATGATGCATTCTCATTTTCGGATCAATCCACAAAAACAATTTCAGATTGCTGAAACTGTCTAGAAGTTTATAAAATAGAGAACTTTTGGTTTGGTTTTTAATCAATATGACCGGTGAAGCACGTGAACAATCACAATTTCGAAAAACAGTTGTACCAGTTTACATTAGTTTCGATTCAGCGGTTTTCAAGTCACGAAAAACATCGGTAAATGGAAAATCAATAAACCATAACAAAATTACTCAAAGCACCTGTAGGCTTTGTTCATTTACATATTATTGTAATTAAACAAATTAAACATATTTTAGCAAGGCAAGAATGGAGGTATATTATCGGTACTACGTGTACCGTTGGCCGGGTGGCTATTACATTGTAATACCGATAATCATGTATACGATTTTTCAACTCTATGTACATGTTTACTGTCAGTTTACTTAGCACTACTCAACTACTGTTTACCAGTAATGTAATATATTTTCTATTCTAGACGATAAAGATGTTGGTGGTGATTGTAGTAATGTTTGCTATTTGCTGGTTCCCGTTGCACGTGTTCAACATAGTCAATGATATTGTTCCAGATTTGTACGATGAGGTAGCTACTCAGGACATAATGAGAATAACCCAGATGTGTTGTTTACTGTTAGCCACGGCAAACAGTTTCATGAATCCATTTATATATGGTTTCCTGAATGAAACTTTTCGTGTAAGTATGGCCGTGTCACGTTTTATTATTTACGTCATCAGGACTAAGAGATGAGCTGCCATTTTAAATTTATTTTAAACTTACCGGAAGTAAATCATCATATAGCCATTGGTCCTTCGCACATTGAACTTGAAATGATTTAGTTGGACGTTGGTGATATTTGTCAGTCACGTGTTGACCTAGTAATACTAATGCATTCTGTGCCATTGAGCGTATGCAAAGCATGTGGCCTCAATACTACCTAGACACTATAATATAATCTGAAAGCAACCTAGGTTTAATAATATAATGCATTACAACATAACTTACATTATTAATTTTTCAGAAAGATTTGAAACATTTTGTCATGTGCCGACTTCGCCAAAACCGACGGCAATCCATAGTAAGCCTGGCGACAAAGACGACAAGAAAAAGCAGTAATTCAAGCGGAAAGTTACCGTTAGGTGTAACCAATGCACCAATAGAAGTAGTTGCGGTGGATCGTATATGACTTCCGTCGTCGAGAATTACGCTTGATTATTGATTATACTGGAAGTCAGTCATCGAAGCACTTCTATTTTTGAAATATTTCCGTGAGAATTGTGTGTGGTATGAGTATTAACACAGTGTCACTATAATCACGTAAACACATGAATTACCTGAAAGACACCAAGCTAATAAATATAGCATAAGCCATTACTTTTGAAATTAGTTATCCTTTAAAAAAATCACCATTGAAAAAAAAGATTTGATAACAACTGTTGTAGTCCAAGGACCTGCAAGTAGAACATTTTGTTAGAGGAATTTGTGTGAAACAGTGTTTTTTTCGGAGATAAAGGAAATTCATTGAATCCTTTGTAAACCTTTGTAAACCTTTGTAGCTAAATCGTTTACATGCACACATTCAAAAGGGCGTACGGTTTTTAGACGAACAATTTGTAATACACCGTTGGGAATAGTGTCACAATAACACAGTTAAAAATAGCGAAAGTCCGGGTCCGTGGCGGCATATTTTCAACTCAATTAGGATAAATAAAAATCTCAGCCAAATAGGTAAATTCAAAGCTACTTAAGCGAAAGAGACGTTTGACTGCCAGATACACTAATTCACGCTAATATGCCAACTTGGTTAACACAATTACGCATATTAAGAATCGAAAGAAAAACTCTCAATTTAAAATTGACCCCTCTGCGAAATGGTTCAGCCTAAACGCCTACAGTTAACATTTCCGTAATGAAGCGTTACGAATAGTAAATGTTGCTCAAAATGAGGTGTTCATTTGCATTAGAGGCTGGCATGTTTGCTATTGATTAGGAAACCCCGTTTTAAATTAGAAACACTGCGCGTAACCATTTTTTTCTGTATAACTCGACTATTGTCCCAAAAAATATAACACACGAAATAGACAAAAAATATCTATCTTTGTTATAGCTTCAATTTTCAATATTTCTATGGTGATACCAGTCGATTCTCATCCACGAGTCACATCCGTTCTGAATACTGAGGATTTCATATATAATTATTTTAATGATAGTTACCGATGACAATGTTCTTGCATGTTTTTAATATTATTATGAGTTAAATTTATTTAATAAATATTCATTCAATATTGACATATTTGGTGTGGTTAGATATATATTAATGTTACTACGTGTTGTTGCTTTTTATTATAGTCTTATAAGAAGTTATTATTAACGTGATAACATGTTATGTTATTATTGAAGTTATAATAAATGTATGATGACGTTTTCAGAAGTAGAAATTGTGAAATGATTTTTGTATTTGTTTTGAAGAGAGGTGGTCATCACGCCGCGCATAGTGTCCGATGACAATGTTTTTTGTATGTTTTTGTGTTTTTAATATTATTATGAGTTAAATTTATTTATTTAATGAATATTCATTAAATATTGACATATTTGGTATGGTTAGGTATATCTTAATGTTACTACGTGTTGTTGCTTTTTATGATATTCTTATTAGAAGTTATTATTCACTTGATAAGTTATGTGGCAAGGTATAGGTATTATTGAACTTATGATAATAAATGTATGATGACGTTTTCAGAAGTAAAAATTGTGAAAAGATTTTTGTATTTGTTTTAAAGAGAGGTGGACGTCGCGTTGCGCATGCGCGAGATATGGGTCTCATATGAACAAAGATGGCAACTTTGACTGTTGCGCAGACCAACGAGTACAAACTGAAACGTTATCAAATTTTGACTAGATAATTTATTTGGCAATTGGAAAGTATCGAATGATTCATCGACGGCAATTAGTGCACTTTGCACCAAGATTAAAACTCTTAGTCGCGATTTTCATTAGAAGAGCGCATTGGATTTTTGGAAAAGCAATGTTTATCAACACAAATGTTGCACATGCGCGGCGCGACGACCACAGCCATTTAAGTAAAAACAATTATAGCGCTCATCACGAATGAATCTGGTATGTTAAATCATGTACAGCTGCATCATATGCAAACAGGTAATTTAA